ATTAAAATGAGTTATTTTAAAACTAAATCACAATTCATTTAATTTTTTCATTCCGTTATGTGCCATGGGTGATACACGCTTAGGCGGTGATGTATCATTCGATATATGACTGCTGAAGCAGATATTTTCCGCAGTAGGTTGCCATTTCTTTCTGCAGTAGACTAGTTGCCATCCAAAGCTATAGGACCCGGTTTGTCCTGCTATATACCCATGGCTGGGGAGGAGGAGAAGAGGATCCATATTATTAGCACGTAAGTGAATGTAATGGATTCGACTGGAATTCGAACCCGGTTGTCCGATTCCTCATCCCGGGCCGCCATCCATTACGACACCGACATGTCTTATTAATATAAATGTTATTTTGGTGCGTATACCATTTTGATTAGACATCTTGATCATTTATAAACAGTGAAATTAATATCGAATATTGAAATTACATACATACATACATATATATATATATATATATATATATATATATATATATATATATATATATATATATATATATATATATATATATATATATATATATGGACAATAAAAAATATTAAAAAATTAAAATCTTTAGAGACACTGGGTTGTAGATTAATATTCTTTTGTTTTTATTATTATTATTTCATTTAGATTCCTCGACTAGTTTCGTCTAAAATGGCCATCATCGGGAGGAGAAATATTTCTGCTTGCTGATAGCAGTAAACTACAGAAATGAATGTCTTTTGCTGGAGAAAATGAACTTTTGTCTGTAGTTTTCATTTGTTTTTTATTTTTTTATCTTTTTAACATGAATCTTTTAACATTCCTTGTGTTGGTCAAACAGTCTCTTTTAAGTTGTTATTTGAGATAAGAGCTGTCTAGATCCATGTTGCTCTGAATTCTCTGGTCAGTTTGACAGTTTTATTGGACCTGGTGAGGGGATGTGTCTCTGTTTAGTGTTTGTGCGTGTGTTATTTGGTTCTTAGGGAGTGAGTGATTATGATATGTGTAAGCGTGTGTATTGCTGTGGGTGTGTGTTATCATTTGGCTCATTAAGGAGTGAGTGAGTATGATGTGTGTAAGTGTGTATATTCGTGTGGGTGAGTGTATAAGTGTGAGGCCTCCACACCTCCGTAAGCATGTCTGTCTTGTGTGGGTGAGAAATGTGGGTAGGTTTTGATTTGTTGAGTTATATATTGTTACTATCTATATATTGTTAAATTTATGGTTTAGCCCGGCTGGGTATTTTGTTTTTAGACGTTGTATCCACTTATTTTCATGGGACTCTAAAAATGTGTGTTTGTGCTGTGTGTTTGTGCTGTGTGTATGTGTGTGTTTGTGTGCGTGTAGAATGTATCATAGTAACCTGTATACAAGGGAAAATGATTAAAATAGTTTGGGGTATTGTCACATCGAATGTCTTAAAGAAAATGTAGATTTCGTCAGGTATCGAGCATTTTTCCCTTGAAACCACCTGATATCCAGGCGAGACTAGGGAGAACTTTCAATTTCAATGCGCAATTATCTCGTTTTAATATATGTGCATATCTCGCTGGGACATTTCTGAGACGTCATTTGTTAACGACTGCATGGAATTTAAGCGTGCTACTTGATTGGCAACTAGGTCTCACCGTTTTACTGTTGAACCCGCTAGGTGCAATCGACAGTTCTATTCTAATATCTTCTTTGTGGATCTCCCTTCCGATATCTTGCTTCCCTTCCAACAACAATCTACAATGATTTAACAGCAACGTCATCTTCTGTTTATACCTGAAACCTGTTCTTTTCCTCACTTCTATTCACTAATACATATATTATGCCTTTAAGTTCTTTGAGGAACATAGGACCACAAGATATTGTTGCGGTTTCTATAACAAGTCAGTATTTTTTTTAAGTTAGCCTACTGCACAACCCCAATCAAGCAGATCAGCTTTTAAATTCAGAGTTGTCCTTCTCCTAGACCAGTTGTCAGCCGGTCCGTCATGCTATTTACCCATGGTTGGGGAAGAAGAGGATTCATATCTTTCCCAAGGGTATTAGCACGTAAGTGAATATAATGGATTCGACTGGAATTCGAACTCTGCTCTCCGATTCCTTAATCCGAGCCGCTATCCATTACTCCACCGTGCCTCCTAAAGTTTTCTTATTTTCTTTCACCCCCGGTAACCCACCCCCTTGCATCTTAGTGATATTATTATTTTTGGAAATAATAATGATTTAATGGATACAAGTCTTAGTAATTAACCCACAGATTGAGTGAGAATAGGTGGATCCATTTCTTTCCGAAGGGGATTTACGCTTAAATAAATATAATGAACCCAACTGCGATTCGAACTCAGCCCTCCTATTTCCAAATTCTAGCCGTTATTCATTTCACAATACTGACATTCAAGCTTACAAACTTATTGATATTCCCAAGCAGCCACCCAACTAGTTACTGGCCAGACTCGACGTTGCTTAACTTCGATGATTTTACGTGAATCAATGTTTCAACGTGATACGGCTGTATGCCAATGAACATTCTGTTAATGGTTTTGGAGGCATTACAAATACAATCTAAAGTAAGTTAGAGCAAGTTTGATTGCGTCATCGGCTGAAGGCACTTCACTTTAAATAAAAAAAATTAAAGATTACTATGTATATTAAATCTTTTAATAGTAATAACTGAGGGTTTATTTTACGTACGGCAAACTACTGCCCTTATTGGACCATAATGTGACGTCCCTGAACACAGCCTTCGCTCACTCCTCGCTGCTTCGTTCGGGTGTCGCCGCTCCAAACGTGACGTCCGCCTGTCGCGTCAGTCGTGTTGTCTCGGCCTGTGACGATCAACTGGCTTGGTCCTGGTCGCGGCGCCAACTGTGACGTTCTAACCTTTTGGTGATTCGGATGGGAATCTGGTTAGATTCGATATCAGCCTCGTCGTTCCCAATTCGCTTCCAACGCCTGGTTACCAAAGTAACTGCGTTGATCTCCAGTCCGCCTACCCACGTTGTGAATCGATCTAAGGCAGACGAAATCAATCAGTCGTTGGGGCCGCAATGCAAGCGGGGTCCAAGCGGAGGTGGTATCGCACAAATACGTATAAAAGAAATAAAATAATAACTCAAAAGTTCAAGGTATCAAAGAAAAGGATAACAAACTTTATGTCTAGTTGTTGGATACATAGGACTGCGTCTATCTCCCGACCCGTTCTATGGATTGTGACACGTTGTTTTCCGTTAGGCGAGTTTTAACACTTCAAGTTGTTTGCTCTTTAAGAAATTGGTTTTTTGGTGTGTCTTCGGGCGAAAGTCGAAAAAAACTTATTTTGGTGGTCTGGATCTAAGTCGCTCTTCAAAATAATTGTTCTTGGATTGAAGATGAGTCCGGAAATTGCGCGAATCTTGTTCAGCCGATGCGAGGCTTGCTTCAACTAAGCACTGGAGACTGACTCTGGGAACTGTCTCTCCCGAACTCAACTCTGGAACTCTCTGCTGGAACTGATTTTCGCTTATATGGACGCTGACCAAAACCGGGGTGGGTTCGTCGGCGTCGGAGGTTCCTCGATAATTCTAAATACATATCCACTTCTTTTATTTTTGGTTAGGAATTTTCCACTTTTTTCCATTTTTGGGAGCCTTCTCTTACTCCCACCTTCTCACCATACTTCAGAGGGGCGCGAACTGCCCTCGCCACTTCTTCATAGCAACCTCTCATACCCATTCTCTAGGTGGGCGGCGACAGCTTCCTCCTTGTGTCACGTGATCACCACTCGGCCAATGATATCCAGCCGGGCGTGTGCGATTCCGCGGGCTTTGTTTCAGGGGGAAAAAAAATATCTTGCTTAAAAAAAAAATTATCTTTTTCTTTTCCTTTTCTTTCTTTTAATCGCAGTTCTCATTTTCTCTGGCCGCAAATAGAACAATGCGATCGGTGGTGGTTGTTCTCACCTGGACTTCGTCAGTCAGATTATCGCTAATTATCAGAATGGGTGGTCTATTTGACACAATACAATCGTCCTTCGCCTCGAAAAAAAAAAAACATTTCCATGGTTCTAGTCATTCTTTGGTGCACATTTCTGATAACATAGTTTTATTATCGCAGCCAAAGATGTCTTGTCAAAAGAAAAACGGTCAGTCGCCACCTCGTGTGCGGCTTTGACACAATTAATTTTTCATATCTATCTGTAGTTCACCTGTTTTTTGTCAATTATCAAAATAACATTTTCAATTGGATTTTTCTTTGGCTAGTCGGTCTGTGGTTTGTTTAATCAGATGTTTTCCCGCATTAGCGGTTTGTTTATGTATCCCCGATAACACAGCTCGTCGCCAGAACACAACTATTCCCCCATCCACTCAGAATTTCCCTGCCATTGTAATGACACTATCCGCCATTTGTTACTTATCAAAATATTCTTATCCATTGTCGTGGGTGTCCTACTTATCATCCACGTTTGGGTCTCGCCTATCTTTTCCTTTCTTTCCTTCCTCTCTTTCTTTTCATTTCTTTTTGCCTTGGTAAATGGTGCCACAATACCTAGATTTAAATCTAAAACTTACTAACCAATTTAATGCTATGCCTGAGTTTTTCTCTAAATATACTGACTTAAAATGACCTATATACATGAGTGTATACGATATTTAAGGAGAGATCATATTTGTTAGATTGATTACTTGTGTTGTTCAAGTATGGGAGATTTTATCTGTGTAAAATCAAACTTTATAAAACAGTATCCAAAACCACTGCCTTGTGGAACCGGCTCCCAAGATTATGGTTACCCAATCTTGAATATTTTAACGTGTTCAAGTGTAGTGTTAACCGTAATCATAATCTGATTCTCTTACTCTGTAACCCTCTACCGGAGTGCACATCATTGTAAAAAAAATAATTGTATTTAAAATATGAGACAAAGTTCAAAAATGAAAAATAAATGTGTTTTGAGAAATGAAATTTGATAAATTCAATAAATATATGAATAAAATTAAAAATAGCAATATAAAAAAACAACAAAACACATAGATTTCAGCAGAGAGAATAACATTTTATTGCTTATTGTTTAAGAGATAGATAGATAGATAGATAGATAGATAGATAGATAGATAGATAGATAGATAGATAGAAAGAAAGAAAGAAACAGTGTGGGCACCGGTATCATCACTACCTGCTGACTCTCACTTTCATGCTTCAATTTTTGATTTCTGTGAACCTTCTCCCGAATCAGATATCTTTCTCGCTTACTCTCTTTCTCTCTCTCTTTCCCTCTGTCTCTCTCTCTCTCTATATATATATATATATATTATATATATATATATATATAGTGAGAGAGGGAGAGGGGAGAGAGAGCAAGAGAGAGCAAGAGAGAGAGCAAGAGAGAGTGTCAGAATCGTTGGTGTCTGCTGGATTTTAATATATATATATACACACACACACACACACATATATATATACACACACATATATATATATATATATATATATATATATGAATATATGATATCGCAAATTGAGTGCTGATGTTAATAAAATAGTGCTCAATGTAATATAACAGAGCCATTACGTATATATTAATAAATATAAATATTACCCCTCACCTGTAGTACGACTCGGAGTTTCATGCAAAACGCAATCTCTACTTAGCACCTGCTGATTGCGTTGTGCATGAGCTTCTGAATATGGTAGAAAATAAAATTAATTACATACTGTACTAAATTTAATATATCCAGTTTAATCATTAGTAATGACTCCTCGCAACCAACTAACGTGCTGTAGAAAACCAACATTATATATAAATTTAAAAATCCCTTTGGTGATTGTATCAACAACAGAAAAAAATAATATATATGCTGGCCGAAACATTATTACATTCTTCATTTGAACGATTCATCTGTCATCTTTCAGCTTTTACACCAGCATGCCTGTCCGCATTCAGAATTTAGGAAAATTCTTATTGAAAATACATCTATACTTTTGTATGAAAGTAAACTACAAATTCTTGAAACTATGTATATTGAAAAATTGAAACCAACCCTTAATAAAATTAATTATGAATACTATACAAATGTATTAAATTGTTTAAAGCAGATAGTTTAAAATATATAGGTATTTTTCTTTTTTAAAATGTTTAGACATTGCAATAAGTTAGTTACCTCCCTTGACATTTGCACGTATAGCTACATGATGAAACTGCCACTTGAACAGTATATAACCTTAGCGTTTTTCACTTCACACGCAAAAAAATTAATTTTCAGATGAACACAACAATTTTGTCTTAGAGAAATTGTTTACAAAAATAATTTGTCTTAGAGAAATTGTTTACAAAAATAATTTGTCTTAGAAAAAACATGATTCGGCTGACGACATTGTGTTAATATCGAAAGTACTTGGAATAAATAAATATGCGTCAATATGGTAATTTTCTTTCTTCCTTTAATAAGGATACTGAGAAAATTGTCCTCAATTATGAGAGGATCGTAATAAAAATAAGTAGACAAAACTTGTCTAAATTATTTAATGAGACATTTTTAATTATATATATATATATATATATATATATATATATATATATATATATATATATATATATACATTGTAGCAAATGTTGTTACTATGCAGGGGCGTTTCATTTCCGTTCAAATGTGAATTCTCTTTTTCGGCATAATTTCAATGGCTTAACTCGTATCAAAAAAAATTCTCATATGTTATTTTCTTACCTTTCCTCTTCATTTGTATCCGTGTAATTTTGAATATACTCTTCTCTGTCTTTTGCCTTTCTTTTCTTTCTATTCTCTTGGTAGTAGCGTTAATTTCTTATGCTTTCTTTTGCCTTTTTTTCTTTCTTCTTCCTTTTCCTTTTATTGATTTTTTATTTTCTTTCCTTTTTTCTTTATAAAAATCTGTTTTACCTTATACGGAAATTTTTACAAAAACGGAAAATGAAATGATGTTTCATAAATTGTAAAAATCGCTTATTATCACCATTGTTAACTACCTGATGTGACGTTGTCTATAAAACGTCGAAACAAAATGTACAATTTTGTAGTAGTCACTTACATGTTCTAATGTAATAGTGTATAAAAATATTTATTGCTCTACTCTTGTATTGAGCCCTGTTTTAAATTAATATTTTGAACGTTTGAATTTTATTCTTTGTTCTTTTTAAATTTGAATATATATATATATATATATATATATATATATATATATATATATATATATATATATATATATATAAAGCGAGAGGTAGATAACAATAAAATAAACATATTCTGTTTTGTGGTCACCAGATCTGATAGGATAATTTAATTTATGGCTTTTCTTTTCGTAAATATTTTGTTAATTTTTCCTTACACAGAGTTTTGGGTTTCATTCTGACCTGAAAAAGCCAAAACCAACAGACGTCGGTGTGCCTGTGGAGAGAGAAGCATGTAGGGAAAACTTAAAGAATACATTCTAATAGATATTAATACATATATTGGTATTGTTAAGACATTCTTTTATGGTTATGCGTTCTTTTTATAGATACAAATATTTAAGTAAATGTTCTGTTTATAATAAACAGTATTAACATTTACCGTCTTAAAAATAATTGGCAGAATTTATCCATTTCATAATGTGTGACGTCATTTGATTACATTTGGATACGCATCGAGCAGATATGAATGTATGATAGAAAATCATGGAGAATTGTAGTTTTAAAACAGTAAAATCGACCTTGCTAACGCTCCTCTGTGGCTCAATCGGTAAAAGCACGTAAGGCTATATGACGGTTCCGTATAGGATACAGGTTCGATTCCTGTCGGAGGACGAATATTTTCTATGAAGATTTCTCGGACATCCAGGCCCGTAAATGTTATAAAAAAACTGTTTATTATAAATTTACTTAAATATATATATCTATAAAAAGAACGTATAAATATAAAAAATGTCTTGACTTCGTCTATTTCATAATATATTGATATGTACAAGCAGGCATTGATATGAACAGATATATATATATATATAAAAAGAAAGAAAGATAGATATGAATGAACCGAAATTTTCAAGCAGAGCCATTCACACTCATGAACATATATATGTATAGCAGCCTATTTGGGCAACAAATACTCTTTAATACATGTTTTATTGATCAAGGCCGACACGGTACTTTAGTTTAATTTTTTTAAATATATTTTCTGTATGCGTACATATATTCTCTTAACGAGTGTAAAAATTGTCCAAAAGTTTGTTGATTCTGAATGCATTTAGCTACACTATTAGTCATTCGTAATGATGTCTGTCATATTAGAATTGTTTTGCAACACGATAACGACTGTTGAACTCCTTATAGCATTTTGTATTGTTGAATTTATCGCTAACATTTTTTGTCCAAGATTTACAAACTTTACGCTTCGTTCAATTTCGCAAATCAGTAAATTAAATTTGAATAAGCTGGTTTGTTTAGAAAAATACTTTGACAAAAAACCTACTTCGCGGTTTAATAATTTCTTTAATTTCATTTAATATTACTGCGTGGTAAACAATATTTATTTTCTTTTTTCCTTTTTAACAGCGGATATAAATTCTTACTCTTCTGCGTCTAAGATTTCTTACTCTTGAGCATTCAATATACAACCGCCCATGCAATTTTTTTGAAGCGTTTGGCCTTGTGATTTGTTTATAGTTCTTGCAAATACAGGGCGAATTGTAAACGGTATTCTTGTATATATATATATACATATATATATATAAAAACTAAAGACAAGACATGCAAAAAAGCAATATTGGATTTTTATTAAATAAGTATTTGTTATTTTAAACATTAAATTGGTTTTAAAATATTGAGAATATTTAGTATGTTAAATAATAAAACTTTTAATTTTTTCAAAAATAATTAATGAAAATCTACTATACTAAGGTACGCACCCTAGTATAACCAACTGTAATTTGTACCCCCTTAACCGGTTGCACTCTTTGATTTGATTTCGATCGGTATATTTTAAAGCAGTGCTTCTCAACATTTTTAAGCCCATGGATAATTTTTTCTTCAAATAGAGTACTCCTACTTTTACTTTTAGGCAGTTCAATTTTCATACTAAAATATTTAATGAAAACACAAAGTAGTCTATTTAGACTTTAAAATTTATTTTAGTAAGCAAGGATAAACACAGGATATCAAAATCAATTTTGATAATGGCATTCACTCTTAATCAATTTAACTAGTGACTAATAATAAAAATAATAAATACTTTGTTGCTATAAATTAGAAATATTAAATCTATTATCAAACAATATTATGCACTGATCTATAGCAATTTATATTATATATACATACATACATACATATATATATATATATATATATATATATATATATATATATATATATATATATATATTTAATAATATAATATATATTTTATAATATAATATAATATAATATAATATATATATATATATATATATATATATATATATATATAATAAATATATACGATAAAAAATATGATAAAAAATAAAATAAATAAAGCACTGGATAATGCCTACGTAATTTTGAAATTTTAAAATATAATGGACGTGTGTAATTAAACAAAATATTATATTTTTTAATTCTTCAAAGTATGAATAATATAGATACAGTTTGTTGAAATGGCTACAATATTTTTATGGCTACGAATTCTCAGTGGACCACTTGAAATGTGGATCACCGATGGTCCACCTGAACCACGTTGAAAATCACTGATTTAGAGGATGAGACGGAGAGACAGACCGATAGATGTCACAGAATTTTATATATAGACTATTATAATAAATGGTTTTTAAATGCTATTTAGACTGCATGTGAGTACATTTTCAAACAGATTTTTTTCAGATTTAGTTGTAAATGAAAATAACTTCATAAATCTCATAAAATTGTTTTGTCCGTGGTCTTTGAAAACCTTTTCAACATGAGACATATAATAACTGAAGAAGTGTGGTTCTCGGTAGGGGAGGGGTTTACCCATAGTGAGCCATAGTGACTCCGTTTGTTAGAGTATATATGTTAGCATTGCGAGCGCGAAATGGGGCTTTTTTTGACAATATTAGGTATGATAGGTGGAAATGGAATAAAAGATTTTGTGGGAGCAGCTGCTATTGATATTTAATGTTTTATTTACTAGAACATCCGTGAATAGGTTTTCTACCTCG